GAAATGGGAAAGGAAGCGGGGAAAGCGTAGAAAACCGGTTTTCTTTCGTCCGCTCATCACTATGATAGTACATCATCTATATAGTACTTTATTACAGCGATGTACTATATACTTTATAGTATCTACTATATATAGCAATGATGTACTATAGATATATAGTACGTCTATAGTAGTATATAGTTATATAGTACATCATCGCTATAGATAGTAGATGTACTATATGTTGTACTATATAGTACTTTTTTGTACTATATAGTTAGATGTACGTGATGTACTATACATGGTACCATGTGGTACCATGTTGGTACAACATGGTATAACTCTTTAAACATGGTACAGAGTTATTGGTACAACATGGTACCAATAACTCTTTAAACATGGTACCGAGTTATTGGTTCAACATGGTACCAATAATCCCATGTTGTATAATGTTGTACCAATAACTCTTTAAATAAATATTTGCTTGTTCATCATTCCTCAAAGGCAATATTTTTGAACGCGCTAAAATTCTGAATGAAAAGATCAAATTGGGTCATTGGCATGACAGGTGAGCTAAGAAATATGAACGGATAGAGCGACAGCAAAGTCATATAATACATTTTCGTGGCCTATTGAAAAAATCCATGACTAGTCTCGAATTTCGAGTGTAGAACTGCCTAAGAGCAGCTCTTAATGGAGCCTGACGGCGCGGCTTCCGTCGCACCAAGGGCGTCTTCGTCGAGCTCTTTAGCTACTCAATCACCTGTTCCTTCCTCTCAACCCTCTACTTCGTCGTCACATATAAAAGATCCGGAAAAGTCCCGCAACGGCGCACCTCGTGTGAATGACAACGACAACCCAAACCTATTTTCCAAGTCCACAATGCGAGCTCCTCCTAAGAGGTTACGGAGCCGAAGTGGTAGTGGCAACAACACAAGTCCAGGACACAAAAACCGTTTGTCCGGCGGTCCGCGTCCCTCCAACACCAACACCAACACAGGAATCGTCGTGGGGAGACTAAGACGAAGGAACCGCTTAAGTGTACGAACGAACTCGCTGTCGGATGAGGAAATCGACGACGTAGTATTAACACCGCCTCGTCGCTTAGCTATGCTATCTTCACGACGTAATAAGAGGCAGCCGAGTCTCAAAAACATCGTGCGCTCGCATCTTCGTAGCTCTCCGAGTCTACCAACTAGCAGCTCGGGGTTGATAGATGCTGATGCCGACAGGAGTGTCGATGCAGATGCAGACACAGACGAATTACCAACCTTAGAACGCAGCAACTCATCGTTCGCGGGTTTAGCACAACAAGTGGTGACTTCCCGACGTGCAGCCCGAGGCTTCTTGTCCATGTGGACAAAAGATTCGACTGAGGCAATTTACGTATATCGAGGAATTCATATGGAAAAGAAAAAGCTAGATCTTGTGAGCGTCGCGTCCGAATATAAAGAAATCAAACGACGCCAGTTCTACCAAGAACTCGTTGTGTACTTTGTCTTTCTGACTCTGCTCTTCTCACTGCTGTCATGGCTACCTGTGCAGGACAGTTTCTATCAAAATGATGTAGTGGGAGCCCTCACATGTCGTGAAGAAGGCGAGTGTGCGATCAAGACTTTTGCAGACATTTATGCCTTTGCTGCCAAGCTACACGATACAGTCTGTGAGCGTGAAGACGTCACGGCACAATGGGTTCGTGTGGGAGGTGTCGGCTTTCGTCAAGTTCGAGTTGAGCAACAGCGGTGTCGAGTGTACGATGGATGGAAGGCTCCATGTTATCCATTTTACAGCCCTGACGTAGAGCAGAAAACACCTTTGCTTGGTCAAAATGGGACTGGTCGTGTGTATAAATGGAGAAATGGACTGGGCGAGCTGTCACCCGAAATTTATCGGTCTTTTTTTGATTGGTTGTTCTTCGCACCTGCCGTATCGTATGGCTCTGGTGGATATGCTGTGGATCTGTGCGATCTGGAGAGTGTACACGAACTCCAGCAAGATCATTATCTTTCGGAACACACACGAGCCGCAGCTTTCAAATTTATCTTACTTAATCCGATTACTCGCGTGTTTACCATTGGCATGCACGTGATCACAGTAGATCCGTCCGGTCATATTGATCACTTTGCGCATAGCTCTCACGTTCGAGTAATCGGTCATGAGAAACCAGAGCAATTTACGAGCGCTACTGATAACATGGAATCGGTCATTCAGCCTTGGCTTCATCGCAGAATCCTTTCAGCGATTGCTACGTCAATTTTTATGGTGCGAGAGGCGTTTGACGTGCGTGTACTTTTATGGGTCGCAATCGTTCTTTTCTTCATCACCTACTGTATCGGTGAGGCTACCGAAATGAAGTCGATGGGCATTTTAACTTATCTTGGCTCAGATCTGTGGAATGTTTTCGAATTGACCCACTTAGTGGTACTAGCTGCACTTTTGAATGACATGGTGCATTACTACATGGCATCCAGCAGCTTTGCATTAGATTTGGCGGAACTGAGCGAAGGTCGCGGTGTGGAAGAGTTGAGCCACTCACGCTCGCAAGAGTTGTTGACAGAGTTCCAGCAGCTATCTGATCTCGCTTCATTAGGATCTGCCATCAGTTTGCTGAAAGTTTTTAAATTCTTGCGCATGAATGCGACACTTAACCTGCTCTGGCGTGTGCTAGGCATGGCGATGAGTGACCTTATGGGATTCCTTGTTATATTTAATCTCATCTTCTTGGGCTATTCGGCTATGGGCAGCTATGCCTTTGGATTTGCTCTGGAAGAGTATTCAACGATTAGCAAGTCGTACGGAACGTGCTTTCAAATGTTAGCTGGCGAGATGGACTATGGGCGACTACAGCAAGCTAATCCCCGTGTTGCGCCGCTCTTCATTGGTACATTTGTTGTTTTGGTTTTTCAGATCGTCGTAAATATGTTTGTTGCAATTTTGTCGGAATACTACGAAGTCGCTAAAAACGACGAAACAGCGAGTGGGGAAGATGTAGAGTATGACGTGCTAGCTCGCATTCGTAGCTTTGTACGATCCTTTTCACCGACGGTTGTGGTTCCAAAGGACCATGGAGTGATCCGTCTTATTCCGTGGCAGCAAGTACGTCTAATTTCCACAAATCTTGTTGACCAAGAAGAAACACGGCTACGCGTGCGGAAGCTATTTCGAGGTGCCGTGTGGCGAGTTGTAGCTCTCCTGCGTTTTGGCATGAAATTTGACCGTCGAATAAATTTTGGTGATCGCAAGGCTCACGATGGAGTCGGTGGTCACGGTGGCAACAGTGGATCCAACAATGGTAGGGAAGCTCGCGAACTAGTCTCACATATTCGACTATCTGAAAACTTTGACCACAAGACGATTAAGGAGATGATTCCGATTGGTATCACGATTCGATTGCAAGGAAACTCGATATTTGGTGACGGTCTGGCGCTCAAAGTTGTCCATCATAGCAAGCTGTCTGTCGAGTGCATTGTTTTAGGTCCAAATGATTCGGAAGGCACGAGATTTGGGGCAGACACGTTTGGAAACATGAAAGGATTTGCACCACCACGCTCTATATCGTCGTTGGGCTCATTCGATGACGATTCGGACTTAGACGATGGCGCACCGCGAGAACGAATCTTGGAACTAATTGGCGGCGAAAAGCTACGTATTCCGAGGAGAAGACTAGCTGTACACTTGTGTCGTATAGTATTCAATGAGCTTAAGATTAGCCTTTTGCGTGCAACAAAGTTGCTGAATTATGCAAAGGATCACATGGTGGACGACTATCATCTCGGCTTGCTCTTTGATAGTGTTCGTGCGGAAGGTCGAACTAGTCTACGTTTTGATGAAATTTCCCGCATGCTGGACCTTTACCTACGCAAGGATAAGCGTCGAGCGATGTGTTCGCAAGCTGAAGTGCGCCGTGAAGCTCTTCAAGTAATGTATCGCTTCCATAAGTGTTTGATCGACATGCCGTCGCGTGAAAAAGAAGGCCACAACTATCGACCGAAGCCTGTTGACACATCAAAGATCGAGCTGGGTCACCTGGAACACCTTGGCGATGTTCTTGCTCGCAATTGTCATGATATGTGGGCACTCGAGCGACTTAAGCAAGGATGGCAGTATGGCAAAGAACGCGACGACTCAAACAAGAGGCATCCGAACCTCGTGCCGTACAAACTACTCTCGGTAGAAGAACAAGCTTTTGACTATCGCTCTTCAATTGAGACAATTAAGACGATAATTTTTATGAATTACACGATTTCGCGTGCGAATCATCAGCGCACACAAAGCGGCACACACGATTCCATCTCACGGTCTGCGTCGATGATGTCCGATGTCACGGATGGATTTGGCGGAAGCAACAGCTCATTGATCAGTGGCGGGTCGGAATCAACTACAAGTCCCCGGTCTGCTGATGCTGCAGTATTTGAGGAGTTAGGAACCGCCTCTCATCCTGGAGCTCTGGCCAGGCCTGTACCCTCCCTTTTACGCGAAGCCATGAGTTTCCGAAGAAATAGTCTGATGGGCGATTCTCCCTATTTCACAACCTATGGAGAGGGGAATGTTGAAGTGTATCGGCCTCTTCCCATTGATACGACCACGATTGAGCTTCCTTTGAGACTATTGCGCCTTGTAGATTTGCTGGCTGAAAATGCACACGAGGTTTGGGCGAAAGGGCGGATGGATGAAGGCTGGACGTACGGCCCCCTGCGAGACGACAGCGCTAAAAAACATCCATGCCTCGTGCCGTATGTGTTTCTCACGGATGATGAAAAGGAATATGACATCAACATTGCAAAGGAGACTCTTAAGACTTTGATTGCCATGAAGTTTACTATCCTCGACCGCTCCAGCAAATACTGATCTTGACGCGATTGTTTGGAATTGACGCATGTGTGCATGTCTGATGCGTATGATTCGAGCAAGGTCAGCCAACATAAATGCGAACTTGTAAGCGAGTATTTCGTCGAAGTTTGCGATATCTTTCAGAGACAATTTGACATGTAAAGAACATTAAGGCGGCTACGCTAACGAAAGTAGTAGTATCCGGAACATTACGCCGGCAGTTTTTTTACTTTCCGTAATTTACCTGC